CAAACACTGAAGCTTATTTTCAATGATGTTTTCCTTCTTTTGTCACTGTTATTTATGCATCATATTCATCTCACCCTTTTACGTTACAGGGGTTGGGTGGAATTTTTTTTGTTTCTTCTTCTGCTAGTGGAAAGCGAGTATTAAATAAAATTAAATGTGTCACTTGTAGTAAATAAATAAATTGTAAGTGGATTGCTTGTTGATTTGTGATAAGAAATGATATTATTATTAAACATAGTAAATGGTAGGGCTGTCAAATACCTTATTCTAGTAACTCAAAGTTTCAGACCTTTTCAAACTAGTATTTCTATATTGGTTTTCCTTTTTCTGGAGTTGACAAGAATTTATTAATAATAATTCTGTCTTTGCTGCATTTATACAAAATACAATAAATTGTTGATTAATAAGATTCATTAATAGGCTTATTATTATGTAGGGAAGAAGAGGACGGAGCTAAAGTGGTGAGAGTAGAGAATCTTGAGAATCCATACAAGAAACAAACCAACTTCGACAACAGATTCAAGCTTAGTCTCAACAAGCTCTACGCTTGGTCTCTCTCCGACTATGACCGTGTCGTAATGCTCGACGTCGACAATCTCTTCCTCAAGAACACAGACGAGCTCTTCCAATGCGGCCAGTTTTGTGCTGTCTTTATCAACCCTTGTATCTTCCACACCGGTCTCTTCGTGTTGCAGCCATCAATGGAGGTCTTTAAGGACATGATTCATGAGCTTCAAGTAGAGAGAAGTAATCCTGATGGAGCTGATCAAGGCTTTCTTGTCAGTTACTTCTCCGATTTACTCAATCAGCCTCTGTTTCGTCCTCCCGATAACCGCACCACCGCCCTTACCGGACATTTTAGGCTTCCTTTGGGATATCAAATGGACGCCTCTTATTACTGTAAGTGACCACTGTCTACACTACATATTTCAATAACCCTAATTCAAAAACACATTTTGCTAATGTTTTGTATGTGTGTCACTCGCTACTGTCTTTGTTAGACCTTAAACTCAGATGGAACGTACCGTGTGGACCAAACAGTGTGATCACGTTCCCAGGAGCAGTTTGGTTAAAGCCATGGTACTGGTGGTCATGGCCTGTTCTTCCTTTAGGCCTCGCATGGCACCACCAACGCCGCTACACCATAGGGTACGTTTTGATAATAATCATATTCTCTCTAGCCACTATGTGATGAATCCCTTTGGATGCACTATATAATCGGTTGCAGATTTCTAGAGATTAGTTTTGGTTTCGACCAATGACTAGTTCCTGCTTTGTCGTTGCAGTTATTCCGCGGAGATGCCTTGGGTCCTAATCCAAGCGGTTTTATACCTAGGAATCATACTAGTTACGCGTCTAGCGCGAACCAGCATGACCAAGCTCTGTTACAGACGTTCCGATAGGAATCTAGCCTACTTGATCAAGATGGTTGCACTGCTCTTGATCCTCTCAGCTTACATTATACCATTCTTCATCATCCCACACACGATCCACCCGCTCATCGGTTGGTCGCTATACTTGACCGGTTCCTTTGCTCTTTCCTTCATACCCATCAACGCCTTGTTGCTTCCAATGCTACCTGTCTTAACACCGTGGCTCGGCATCCTCGGGACGCTACTCGTGATGGCTTTTCCCTCTTATCCCGATGGAGTAGTCAGAGCATTGTCGGTTTTCGGGTATGCGTTTTGTTGTGCACCGTTTCTATGGATCTCCTTTGGGAAGATCACATCACATCTTCAGGTTTTGATTGACAAAGAGGTCTTGTTTCCGCGGTTGGGTGAATCCGGGATCAATTCAGGTATCAATAAGTTGTATTGATAAGTAAAGATTTTTGATCACCACAGAGTTTTTCCGGTGGGTTATTATCTTTGATGGATTGCTTCTGTACATAAAACGTTAGAGATGATTAACAAAGATAACATTAACTTGATGGAAATTCCAACTCTTTCACAGATAATTTCTATTTTTTTTTTGTTCACTGAGTTTCAAAAGAAATGCATTATTGAGCTAAATAAAAAATGGTAAGAGTTTTAAGCAGTAAAAATAGTGTTGTTGTATTGTTTTTTGCTGTTTACCCCTTATGGCAGAGGTGAGAAATGAGTAATTACTAATAAAATCATATTGGAAAATTACATATTCGATGGAAATGGTTGTAGTGAGCACATAAGAAATGAACCATATTTAAATTAACTTAGCGGCCTTAATCATAAAAAGAATTTTCATTTTAAGCCCATAAAAGCCCATTAAGCAGAAGGGTGGTCTTATTAAATTTACCAATTGCCACTGCCTTCGTCATCCGCAGAGGTCCCTAATGAGCCGTAATGTTTAATATGGTATTTTTGTCAAATCATATACAAGTTTGCTATGATTTCAACTAATTTATTTTGATTTGGATTTTGAAATTACAATTTTGTATGGACATTGTAAAAATTATCACAAAATTATTGTGAACTAAAATCTTGTTTTGTTTGGTGGGTCGACTGGGCCCACATATTCTCCAAACGGAAGCTAAAAGTGAAAAAAGGTGTGCCACATGCCCCACATTTATGTGGTACATGATATGACCAACGCAATCGTATTTACGAAAATACCCTTCATCTCATGTTTCGTAAATTTTCCCTCTTAATTTCTCTCTTTAAAAAAATTTACTTAAGTAAACCTAAAACCTAAAATGTAAACTCGTTTTCAATTCTGGGTTCGATCTGTTGTCAGTGGATAATTGTTTATTTAACTCTGAAACTGAGGCAAGGGTAAAACATGCAGAGACGTGATTTCAAAAGATAGATCAGGGATATTTCTGTAATAAATTAACGATGATATTACCAAATTGATGCCCATAAAAAAAAAGTGTGTGTGTGTGTTTTTTTTTCATTGTCATAAAAGAAACATAAATGTTCTGTTTTGTATAAAACTATTGCTACTAGACAGAGTTACAACGCAGCTGGCGACACAAACATACTCCACAAAGAAAGTAGGAGATAAATTGAACGAGTTAGATTAAAGAGGTTATCTTTTTCTCTTTTTAAAATATATTAATAAATAGTATAGGACTGTGTACGAATTTTATACTAATATTCATTGTAGTTTTAAGTGAAATATCTCCGTATTTTGGGTTTTAGATATTTCATTCATTGAGATATGTGAA